CAAATCAAGTAATCCCAAAAGCACCGCTAAAACCAATTCCGGCTTTTGAAGAACCATTTAGCCGTATTATGATTGATTGCGTCGGACCATTACCTAAAACTAAGCGAGGTAATCAATATTTATTGACAATTATGTGTGTTTCGACACGTTTTCCTGAAGCAATACCACTTCGAAATATCAAGGCTAAAACCATTGTAGAAGCACTTACAAAGTTTTTCACTTTAGTTGGTCTTCCAAAATCCATCCAGTCTGACCAAGGTTCGAATTTCACGTCAGGGTTGTTTCAACAAATTATGCACGAACTAGGTATTAAACAATACACCTCGTCAGCTTATCATCCGGAAAGTCAAGGCGCTCTGGAAAGGTTTCACCAAACATTGAAGCAAATGATTAAGACATATTGTTTTGAAACTGAGAAAGATTGGGACGACGGCGTCCATTTCCTTTTGTTCGCGGCTCGTGAGTCAGTTCAAGAATCATTAGGGTTTAGTCCATTTGAGTTAGTTTTTGGTCACACGGTTCGAGGACCGCTCAAGCTTTTAAAGGAAAAGTTGCTTACCGACGACGGTGGTTCATTGAATATTTTACAGTATGTAACGGACTTTCGTACCAAATTAACTAAGGCTTGTGACCTAGCACGTAAGAACCTTAAAACAGCTCAAAATCGCATGAAGCACAGTTACGACAGTCACAAAAACACCGTAACTCGGAATTTTCAGAACGGAGATAAGGTTCTTGCACTTCTTCCGGTTCCTGGAAACCCCTTGCAAGCTAGGTATTTTGGGCCCTATGTTATAGAAAAGAAAGAGAATGATTTAAACTATATAATCATTACTCCAAATAGACGTCGAAAGAAACAGCTTTGCCATGTAAATATGCTTAAAGCATATCACGAAAGAAAGAAAGTAGTACAGTCAGTAAATGTAGTGAGTTCAGATAGAGATAGGTATAGTAATGAGGATGAATCTGAACTCTCTAGTTTGTCTGAGACAACAAAATTGAGCAACTCCGACGTTTTACGAAATATGGATTCGAAGTTATCTCATCTTCAACCATCTCAACGTCAGGATGTTCTAGACCTTGTTAATGAATATGCACAATTATTCCCCGACATTCCTTCTCGAACTGACATGATTTCCCACGACGTTGATATTGGCGACGCTTCCCCTATAAAACAACACCCTTACCGATTGAACTCAACGAAAGCAAAATACCTTGACCAAGAGATCCAATACCTCCTTGAAAATGATTTCATCGAACACAGTCAAAGCAGTTGGAGTTCACCCTGTATATTAGTTCCTAAACCAGACGGTAGTTATCGAATGTGTACAGACTACCGTAAAGTAAACAACCTCACGAAGTCGGATAATTTTCCCATTCCTCGGATGGATGATTGCGTGGATAAAATTGGAAATGCTAAGTATGTGTCGAAGTTTGATTTACTGAAAGGATTCTGGCAAATCCCTTTAAGCGAACGTGCCAAAGAGGTTTCAGCATTCGTAACACCACGTGGATTATACCAATACAAAGTTATGCCATTTGGAATGCGAAATGCCCCTGCCACCTTCCAACGCCTTATCAACCAGATAATTTCCCAGATCGACGGCTGCGAAGGTTATATTGATGACGTGATCATTTATAGTGACACCTGGGAAGAGCATCTGGAAATATTACGAAAGTTTTTCAAACGGTTAAGCGAAGCCAAGTTAACCATAAGTACTTTGTACTTTCAAGAAAGTTCTGCAAACTTTCTTTCCTTTAAGGGGGAGGGTGTAACATCACTGATGGCAGTGTTATACCATGTTATTTAATATATTCAATACTATATTCAATACTATATATTCAGTATACTGTTATAATTATAAGAGAAGACCTTAGGCAACCTTCCTCGCATGAATAAGCAAATATTTAGAGAGATTAAAGAACCACGGGAAACGCCTAGTACCACAAACCACGCAAACAGGACATAGTTTTGTGGTTGATAAACACTGCTAGAACTTGCTTTGACAAACATATTGCGTAGAGGAAATTAGTCATAGTTACAGATTTCTTCCTCTAAAATTTATTATAAAAGCTGAGCACAACCTGAGAGTCGAGAGCGGAGAGTGAAGTGAGAAGAGCCATTTAGGCTAAAATACTTCATAAGCCAACAAAGGCTGAAGTATATAATTAAAAGGCTAGATAATTAAGCCTCGTCAAGTAAACTGAAGAACATTGGAATATTGTGGAATAATTATTATTAAAGAAGACGGAATACAAAGTATAAAGAATAAAGATTCAAAGTTGTGCTCAGCTCAAACAAATAGAGATATAAGTTGATATATTAAGATTACTATATTATTATAACATTATAGAGACGCTAATTCATATTGTTGAAAGTAAATAAAATATATAAAAGGTATAAGGTTTCATGCTATTTGTGTTACGGTAGCGTTAATATAATTTGAACCCGAAGCCTAAAGGTTGAAAATATACCTAATTGGAAAATATATTTGACGCATAAATAACGCACCATAACACCAGAGTCAGACACAATGCAAAATCCATAGAAAACAGGTACAATTCGTTGAAAATTTTAACGAAATTGTTGGAAACATTTTACCCACTACACGAAAGACCGCCATTTTGAAAAGGATAAAATTAAGCAGCTCATTAATATTCTATTTTGTCTAGTCCCAGTCGTTCTGAAGCAAGCGCGAGAAAAAAGTGGATGTAGTACGAGACTGGGACCTAGGTGTGACGTCACCGCTCAAGGTGCTTCAGAACGCCTAGCAGATTTCAGTATTTTTAATATGGCGGAAAAATTATATATACAAGTAACCTTTTAATTATAAATACGACAATGTTCGTTCATCATGTACATGTTCGATGTCTACATAACCAAATCAAACTGTATTAAAAATGTGCTCAACTAAAAAAATTATATACAAATTTACGATACCGAGTTTGAGCAATCGTTGATGTTATTTATGTACTCGCAAGTTGTGATCAACACTAGACCATACTGGTATACACAACTACGCTTTCTACTTGACAGGTTTAAATTGCTGAGGAGATTGGAAATATTTGCCTGACATGACGGTGTTGTCAAAACATTTTTAGTCGGAGACTCGGCATAATTTTCAAGCTTCTAGATAGCATTTAATATGGCTATATATTTTAGTAAACACGAGTCATATTTAGCCCGTTATTCCATTCTGACCGTATGGCCGCGAAACGTAGCCTACTTCATTGTTCCGACAGCATTAGAGCAAAACTAATGACTTCATTATAATGCAAAGGAAATTTCCATAACATTTTCCATTTACAAATGAGGTATGCTTGGTAACCAGGCCAGGGACCACTTTTTTGAAATCAGGGACCATTTTACCGAAATCTGCTAGGCTCTCTCGCTGAAGCGTTCCGCACAGCACACCCAGGCATAAAACTTTTAAGACTTATTTAAATATATCAAAGCAGCGAATAGAAAGAGAGCCTGGGACTAGGCTGTGTCGAAACCTATTCTCGTCTGGGGCACAGAGTGCCCCAGCGAGTAATAAACTATAATCACAATTCACAACTCGCTGTTTTCAAAATCCCAAGTCACAGTCCCAACATTTTCACTCCCCCCTGTTTTCTTGCACGTGTTTCGCAATCCCCTACAACTCTAACGCCCGTATTCTAAAAGCTCACTCACACTCAATGAGTGGAGGTTCAATCTGAGCTTCTCTTGAGTGTCAATGCTGTTTTTGAATAGCTGGAGGGTGAGTAGTCACATATTAAGGTACGACACTAACCCTCCAGCTATTCAAAATTTGCACTGGCACCTAAGAGAAGCTCAGATTGAACCTCCACTCATTGAGTGTGAGTGAGCTTTTAGGATGTGGGCGTAAATGTCCATTGTTGTCCTCCAAAATACATTAAATATCTAAACCAAAATAACATCAATTTCCAACATCCTCCCCCCATGTGACTCAGAAAGAGTCACATGTTATACTACAAAAAACCCGATGTCTCAATGTTTAATTGTCACTCGTTCATCTCATCCAGTTCAAACAGTTCCTTATTCTTTGCTTCTGCTTTGACCGCTGCTTGTCGTCTTGGCTTGAATTATTTTGCATTGGTATTCAATTTCGTCTCGCGTTTTCCCACGTCGAATTCCAGTTCCAAGTGATAAATTAGTTGAATCGGTCTTTCTATAGACGATTTACCGCATTGAAGCTTAATAACTCCCCTTAATCTTCCCCACGAATTAACTTCGTAACCTTTCCCATTTTCCACTTGTTTCTGGATCTGTTCTTCTCTTCGCCTTTAATCAGCACAATATCTCCTTCCTTGGGACAAACTGCAGTTGACTTGATGTTGGTCTGATGACACTGCCGTAAACTCGTCAGGTACTCTCTTTGCCATCGTCTCCATAGATGGTTCTTTACACTTCGTAAGTACCTTGCCCTTTTTCGTAGATCACCGTCCTCAATAATTATGACAACATTCTAACTCTGGCACAACATTCGACTGTTGTGACACAAACGAATTTGTGTAAGAATAGGAAATTCATTAATTCAATTCCATCCTCTAAGTAGCTCAGTGGCCGGTTATTCATACAGATTTCTACATCTAGCACAACTTCCGACAGCTCTTCAAATGTCAAAAGTCCTTTACCGATAACCTTGCAAAAGCACATTTTAAAATTCCGATTAATCATTCAAATTGTCCGCCCCACCAGAGCGCACGTGACAAATTGAATCTCCACTTGATCTCATACTTGCTCAGTTCACTGTGGAATTTCTCATCTTTCATCACCTTGTTTAACCATGACGCAGCCGCTTGGAACGTTCGCATTGTCCGAGTAGATAAGAGACGGCCGACCTCGTCTGGCGATTAGTCTTTTGAGACTTCGAAGGAACGAGGTTGTTTCAAGGCTCTTCCGGAACTTCTAGGTAAACTCCTCGAATCAAACAACATGTAAATAGGACTAGGTACGCTTTTCCTTCTTGGGTTTTCTTAACTCTATACGTGATTGGGCCGGTGAAATCGACTCCAATAACTTTATAAGGAGTAGTCCCTTCCATTCGCGTTGTTGGTAATGGTGCAGGTGTTGGAGCTTGATAACGTTTGGTCATGAACTCTTGCATCGCGCGCTTCCTTTCGCGACTTTTATCGAACTTTAGCAGCGACTACGAGTACGAGTCAGTGAACTCTAATAAGGCTGGAACGATAACTCGGCCGCCATCTTTGAAGCCAAATTGAAGGCAAATTACACCATTAAAAGAACGCCGATTTCTTTACACAAGAATAAAGGCTTTGAACAAGAATAAAGGCTTAAATTAAAACAAACAACAATACTTGAACTTTACTCCAAAACAAGTTGTGTAAACGTAGAGAGATTTAAACCTTATTTTTTGTGAGTTGAAGAGCGAAGTTTTCTTCGGCAAGTTCAAATTTCATTGCTAAATATTTCAAATATAAAGCTGATACCTCAAAAGTTTTTGCAGCTAGTTGATACAGAATACTTAGAACTATCCAGAAAACCAAGTTTAAAGCTTTGAAATTGAAATCTTCGGACGAAAAACCTAATTCTTCGGCGTATTTTTGCTGAAGAAACAAAGTTACGAGGAAATTGAACTCTCCCCAGTTCTTGTTTGAAAGTCACAGCTTCTCCCGGGCGCCAAATCACAAATCGCAAATCACGGGGGTTTCTACGGAAAAATCGATTTGTAACCTCGAAACTTTCCTTAGTCCTTTTAAAAGTGCAATTTCCTCACACGGTTGGCTTCAGGCAAGTATGGGCATGTTTACCTACAGTTATCGTTCCAGTTTTATTAGAGTTCACTGGTACGAGTACCAGATTCGTCAAGCGTGCTGTATGCTTACGCCATCCCGTGCTGACGCGAAAAAGTCGTAGCCGTCGCCCATCTGAGTACGAAATTGTGGAGAGTTATTTGTTTTCCAAAAATAATTTGTAGCATTTATATAGCGTTTATCCGGCGCAAATAATATATTAGTACTAAATATCTGGCCTGTTTTTAATGTTATGACTTATTTGCACGTTTTGTAGGGGATTTTAGTCTACAAGAGATTTAGTTTATACAAAATGTACAAAGACTTAATTGGAGCAAATTGTTTTGTGATGTAGTCTTTCCTTAATTCATGCTGTATCTCAAGCGAAATGTCAAAAATCTTATTATTTACTCAATACTTTAGTCCTTCAAGAACTAATTATAAATTTGTCACTGCACTCTCGTTCCACCAAAATAATAATTATTCCCACATATATTGAATATTTACATTCAAAATCATTGACCAATCAGGTTGCAAGACAGACCAGCCGAAGCCATATCCTTTTTCACTGACCATCCAACCGCGGAAGCAAAAAGCCCTGGGTAAGAGGTTGGGCAATGGATTGTACGCTATTGAAATGGAATAGAGTTGAATATAGGTTTAAATCCATCATTCTTCATGTGATCTTCAATATTACCATGGTATGGTGTAACGACTTTCTTCATTCGTTCAAATGGAAAACCCTTTGAACTATTTCTAAAGTTTGCTATCACACCGTTACTTGAAAGAATACCACAAGTATCTGCATCATTTGATATCCTCATGTAGCCCTTTCTACCCCAGTATGGTCCCCATGAGTTCTTAATTATCCAGTAGTATGAACCGTCGAATTGCTTTCCATAACCAACTATCACGGCAGAATGTTGCGTTGCGTCATCTAAGGTAACAAAAACAAAACTTACAAATTTTCCGACTGTATACATGCCAGTCTTTCACCTATTCGTTATTCGCCTTCTATTGGAAAGTACGTTCCCCATCATCTTGTCTAAGCTACCTTCATCTACCTCTCATGATGAACATGCAGAGAAATAACAAATGCCTTTTTCTGAATTTTAATTTTATTCCCACGTTTGTTCATAACAGGATTTCAATTAATTGAGCTAATAAATGCGATTGTATAGTTAAAAGTTATATTGACTGCATGACCAAACTTTAAGTCTGTCAAATATATTCAAAAAGAACAAGTTTAACGTGAATATGCCAATTCGGCTGAGTTTCCACTGCGCATCCAAATGACGCGTTCTGCGTCGGGATAAATAATTGCAGTTGAGTAGCTGAGACAGGAAGAAGTGGGATAGGCATATCAGGGTGTTCAGCTGTTCAATCATTTGTATTTCACTTATATAGCCACAATATAACTGTCATTACAGTGAAAATACAAAAAGTGTCCCACTTCCGCTTCTGTAGTTTGTTGTGATTTACTGTAATTTGTTCTGTTTTTCTGTAGCGATTACCGATTTATCGGCAAATACCGCGATAAAACTTAGTTTTCTCTACTTTTTAAATATGATAATTTGTAGCAAAGGGAAATAATACATTTTTCGTTAGTTTCATTGCATAAAAGGAACGAAATTTAAATTTTATCGCAGTATTTGCCGATAAATCGGTAATCGCTACAGAAAAACAGAACAAATTACAGTAAATCACAACAAACTACAGAAGCGGAAGTGGGACACTTTTTGTATTTTCACTGTAAATCATTTTTATACTGGCATATATTACACCTTCAGTATTAGGCAAAATAAAGAGCAAATCAACCGTGTGGAAGCTATTTGTGCTTTGAGCAACGTTTTGCATATTGGAATGATTGGACAGTTGAATACTTTGATATCAGCACATTTAATTTAATTCGTTGGTATAGATCGTTCAATTATCTGTATTTGTAGCAAGCATCTTAAGACCTACCACAATCGAAATCATCATACACTCCATCTCTATAAAACTTGAATGATTTTGGCGCTGAATTTATTCCAACAGAGACAGGACCATAAGTTGCCAATGTCACCTTCATTGCTGTTTTGTTTGTTCTCATTACGTCACCAAAGCTGGTTGGATGGTATATTGTGCAATTATCCTTAGGCCCACAATGGCATAGACCTTCCTGTAGAAGAAATTTATGGGTAAGAAAATTCAATTGATTAGACAAAATAAGACCAGATAATGCTTAAGTCTAAAATGCCTCTTGTTTACTAATCTCCTTGATTAATTCCCTATAACATGCTTTTATTTATTGTCTGAAAAAGTCTTACACCAGCCTTGATCATATACAATTCAAACCGTACCTTAATTCTATCAGGTTACAACCATCAGACATGTACATGATCCACTATATAGTCTTATGTCATGCAGGCCATTTAAACGTAAACTTGCATGGCCGCAGTATAACTACACCTTTTTTATTTCACATATTTCACTGAGCATTTCCACTCCCATCTGATATTTAGAATTTGCAAAGGACCTATTTAAACGGCACGATCTTTTCATCATACTTGCTGTCATCCAAAATCTTAAGTTAGCAGAAGTGATATATTGCAGTGAATATACTATACAATTTAGCGATTGACACACCATGCAGGCGTTAAGTGCAATTTAAATATAAATATATAATAGCCCAGCAAATGACTTTCGGCAAGGAGGACATAACAGAAAAGAAAAAAATATATTTGCTGCCATTTCGTTGTATAGCATATACGTATAAAAAATCTTCTTCTCGGCTATTTACACCCGGGTAAATGAAGGCTGAATCCCGGCGTGAAAAGTCCCATCAATAATCCTAGGCGCGCAGGTATGGTTCATGGGTGGACCTCCCATTGATCTAAAAAATATGACAGATTTGTCAGGCGGTGTACTAAAATAAACGAGACAACAATTTGAGGAAAAGCAGAGTTCATAGTTTCATTTAAAAAATCTTGCATATATTGTGATCATTGTGACAGGTGATTGCGAAATTAACTGTGGCGAATGGCCATGTGAACAAGCGCAAGGATTTCATGACATTGATGACAATATCTTTTACGTAGAATCCTATATGTTTTGGTCGAATACAAAACCAGAGCACGCGCATAAGAGTGATGCTTTACTAATGCAATAATAATCCGTAACTCAGTCAAAGTAGTTTCAATAGCTACTAGCAACCTCCGACATAATTATTTGTTGAACAGACTGTGGCAATGTGACTGGAAGGCGGATACAAGACTTCCGTTTAAATAAATAAAAATCATGTTTGTAGACGACACGCGGGCAATCAGTGCCGATTAAACTAAGAAAGTTTTGGTCTATATATACCTGCGTATATCTAGCTAAGACTCCTAAGTCATCTTACTTGTGCTAAATATCGACCATAACTTTGATGTGTTGCAATACCATTTCGTATCACCCATTGCATTGCTTTCCACGGCCAACCACCGCGACAACCATAATTTCTATACCCATATGTACAATCTACCAACATTTGGGCTGAAAATTCAATGTCTTTTCCCGTCTGCAGTTAAAATATCGAATGTTCAATTTAGATATAGGCTTCTAAACACCAATAAAACCGAACTTATTAGTGGTTAAGAATTCTGAATTAGAAACAGGTTAATTAAAGATTATAGTTTAGTAAGTAAGGACAGTAAGTGAGTAAGTAAGTAAGGACAGTAAGTGAGTAAGTAAGTAAGTAAGTAAGTAAGTAAGTAAGTAAGTAAGTAAGTAAGTAAGTAAGTAAGTAAGTAAGTAAGTAAGTAAGTAAGTAAGTAAGTAAGTAAGTAAGTAAGT